GAGTTTATGCAAGGTCTTCCTGCCTTTGCCAATTATAGCAGTTATGACTGCAAGCGGCTCATCCTTTATATTCAAGTAGGCTGCGGAGCATTTGCTTTGGGTCTTTCTCTTATTTACCTTTTCATTCAATGTTGCCTTCGAAATAATCAAAGCACACGATCAGGAGTACCAGGTCAGTCGAACACATCAACGCAAGCTGGATCCTCCATGGGGCCTTTACCACCGATTAATCAAATGACCACGCGGAAGTCTGCAGGTGCAGTGAAAGGTCTCTCGCGGCTGTCACCATGGTCTATTTCAAATCCAACCTTCTTTCAAAGCTCTTACATGCCGCCGTTTTAAGATAAATATACATTCGTTTTTTATTTCCTATAAATATACAAAGGATTCCAGCATTTTCGTGCACATTTTACTGTATACTTTTTGCTTCAGATAAAACGTTGTGTCCCAAAGTAAAATTGTTACAAACCAGAAGTGTGGGTGTGGGTGTGGGTTTTTCGAATTACATTGATAGCCATATATATTCTTAACTGGGTTTTTTACCATCATTAGGTCTGTTTGCGATTTCAAGGAATGTTGTAAAGTAAGTCTTCAGTTCTGTCTCGCTAAAATCAATGCTCAGCTATGGGTATGGATGTGTATATAGAATCTCAAGATTTTATTTAGATATACAAGCGAGAGACTTACGACCGGTTTCGACCTTGCTTAAGGGTCATCATCAGGTAAGTTCGAATATCTATATATTGCTGCATATCGATCCTAATTCGAATTCGAAGAAGTTCTATAAGAGTTTTTCGACAAAAAATAAAAAAACTCCCAACAAACAGCCACGGATTTTTCGAACTAAGATCACATCTATTTCAAATCAATTAAATTTTCAAGAGGAAAATAAAGTTGAGATGAATTAGACGGCGTCGCACCTATTAATTCCAGAATTTTTAAATAAACTCATTGAATTTGCTGGTTTGTATAAATTCAATCTTATGTGCATATTCTTGTTTTTGGATTAGACAATCGATGGCTTCGGATTTTATGCAGATATTGCTAATAGCTTCAGATTCTTTAAGGTGTCCCTCTTTGGACGTGATACTTCTCTGATGTATTGCTCATTGACATATTCGCATGTTTTCCGATGCTTTGAAGTGTTTTCGTCTCATCTCTTTTCTTCTTATATAGATATTTCATTATACCCTATTCACATTATTCTTAATAGTTGTGCGATTGGATTCGTGTCATATTTTGTTGTTATCATCGTATATCTCTATCTCTCCATCATCATATCCCCTCATATCCCTATCCTTTTGTCAGTTTATCCCTTCATATTCCTATTATGTTATCGTATTTGCCGCTTATATCCTACCTCTGTTCTATATCAGTCTGATATCCTGGTAAACGCATTACTTTTATTCTTTCAAGAGATACAAAGTAGTGCATAAACACTGAAAAACCCACGAGTACATACCTGTAAAGATGTCTTATGGTTGAGTACAAGGAAAAATATACATTTCATATCGAGAAACGCACTTACACAAAGTATACATGAAAGTTAACACATAAGTTACTCTTATCATACGCTGAGAAACCACATGGACCTTAATTAGAAAGTAATGTTTACCAAGAAATACTAAGTCATTCTATACCATAATTTTCTAGAAGCATTTTTTCTGAATTCCCATCTTACTGAAAAACTCAAGAAAACTACTCTCAAATAAGACCTTGATCCTGCTCTGTCCGGTGGGATAGCCGCTTCAGACAGCCACAGTGACCATACGCATATCTATCTTATTCTATAAAATTATCACCATGTGACGATGGAGTTATTGTTTTTAACTCAATGCTCAACCCCGGGGGAAAACGGAACAGAAGAGATGTAATCGCATAGCGCTGAAACAACCCGAAGGTTGTTTCAGTGTATCGGAAAGACGTCAACGAACCTGTTCTGATCCTTCCTTATAGTACAATGATTTAGCTGTCGACACTATGCGTTACGAAGAATAAAAGATAAAACTTTTGGAGTCTAGGAATATCCAAATAAAAAGTTTTTCAAAATTTGTTTCAATTATTGTTTGAATAAGTAGAACTTATTCAAGCATGTCCCCGAAAAGCAGAAAATATTTTTGATATTCTATGGTAAAAGTCTGAGAGAAATCCTTAACTAAAATCTGAACATACCTGTTATTGATAAATTTGTAATAAACAAATAAGATTCCATGGAGCTGATGGCAATGATAATCTATAGGATTGCTGTTGTGATCGAAGACGAAATAGATTGACTGAAGATATATATTAAATTCAGGTAATAGATGTTATGTGTAGTATTAGCATTAGACGACAAAATAGAGAAGAACGATTAATATATAGCAGTTGTTCGACGGATGCATGATGACGTTTAGTTGAATAAAAGAGCTGATCACTACAAACTATGGCTATTCATACTCACATAATCGCATTGAAGAAATGATTAAAAAAAAATAGTCGTCGTCCGTCCTACAGAAGTAACTGGCCCGTCCTTCTATGGGAAGACCATCCGTTCCATTACGGAACGTGCCCCATCCTGTTATGGAACGTGGCACGTCCTGCTAGAGAAACTGGTCCGTCCTTCTACAGAAATGATATCCGTCCTATTATGAAATATGGGTGTGACGATTTTTAGATAGAAGAAGCACTAGCGCTGATGGAACTACGCTTTATTGTATTTCTTCATATCTACAACCGCATCGTTTACATACAAAGCATACGCTTATATACTGTTTCATAAAAGAGGAAGGAAAGCAAACGATAACCAGGACAGAAAATAAGTATAATATGGTGTGGACAAAGTACAATACGATGCACTACGTAAGGACAAAAATATCAAGACAACTCGTAGGATGAGAAGATATAGTAAGAAGAGGAAAATATCATGCATACACTGCATGCTACGGACACGTTACAATGGGCCATCCTGCTGTGGAACGTGCCACGTCCTCTCATAGAAACTGGTCCGTCCTTCTACAGAAACGATGTCTATCCTGTTATAAAAACGTGGCCCGTCCTGGTATAGAACCTGACCCGTCCAAATTCAGTAATGACGTCCACTCTGTTATAAAAGGTGACCCGTCCTGCTATAGAACCTGACTCGTCCTAATACAGAAAGGACATCTACCTTGGTATGAAACGTGACCCGTCCTAATGCAGAAACGACGTTGGCCCCGTTATAAAAAGTGGCCCATCCTTATAGAAAAACGTCGTCTATCCTACCATACGACGTGGTCTTAGCATGAGACAAGGCATTTTACTAAAAATTGTAGGCTCATAGAGTGTATTTGATTGGGTGGAATGATTTATAGAAACACATGACTCTAGTCAAGTGCTTGGTTTCAAAGACAGTATTACTTTTTTTCATGAAGAATATTTTTGTCAAGATAAGAGATGTGTGGTTTACAAAATTGCCGCCCAACTGAACTAAGCCAACTATTAGTGTTGCATCTATAAATATGTGTCAAGTATTTATTTCTTTCAGTATACAAATAATTACACACTTGAGGGTGTGTGTGGGAGTCTTTCTTATTACACTCACACATATTGGTGCACCCTCATGCAAACAATATCTTTATTTCTGTTTTAGTATGGGTACTGGAACAAGCAATTCAACAGTGCATCCTTCAGTGCAGCTAACACCAAAACCGACTAATATTCTCTTGGATGAGATCAAGCCATCTTCAGATAGGAGCAATAAAGAGGGCATGTCTCTTATTTGGGTTGGAGACATACCACCTAGTTATTCCAATAAAACTCTAAAATCTAAATTAAACAAAGTGATTAGTACTGTTAAATTTTGTAGATTACAAGAGTGCCTCATTGAAGCTAAAGCCTTAAGTGAAGAAAAAGTATTTATTATTTTAAAAACGACAACCATTGCACCATCTCGTGAGCTTATTGGTGAGTTGACCAGTCTAAGTCAAGTAGATACAATATATGTAATGGACCCGAATGAAGAACGTGCGAAAAGATATTGTGAACTTGCCGATAAAAGCAGTAAAATAACTTATGTCACAACTTTTGATGAAACAACGTTTGATTCTATTTGCACATCCATTCGAACTGCAGTTAAAATGGCGTTAGATTTCAGCATGTTCGATCAAGCAAAGCAGAGCACCACACGTGATTTGACAAGAAATGCAGCTTCTTTCCTTTGGTTTCAAATGCTATTTAATGTTCTGAAGGGACTAAATCAAGATGAACATGCTAAAGAAGAAATGATAAAGATGTGGTACGCTTACTACAAAAAACAAGCGGATCCAGTTGAGCTACAAAATATTAGAGATTTTCAAGACAACTACAATAGCTCGCAAGCAATTCATTGGTACACTCGCGATTGCTTTCTCTACAAACTTTTGAACCGAGCATTACGCACAGAAGATGTTCACTCTTTATTCAAGTTTCGAACTTTTATTATCGACTTGTGTAACCAAATTGATGATTTACACCAACAGCGCATAAATAGTGGTCACTCTTCGAACATGACTTTATATCGCGGTCAACTTATTACCAAGTGCGAGTATGATCAGATGCTAAGCTATACAAATAAATTGATTTCGACAAATGGTTTTATTTCGACTACGAAATCCCGTGATAAAGCCCTTGAATTTGCCCTGAGAAAGCCAAAAAAATCCCATCTAGTGTCAATATTGTTCGAAATAACGATTCCGCCACATTTGCAGCAAACTAAATTCGCTGATATTAGTGCACTGAGTGTCTTCCCCGGTGAAGAAGAAATTCTGTTTAATCTTGGTGCTGCATTCAAAATCGATAGGATTCAAGAGTCATCTGGTACCAATGCATATACTGAGTTATTTATGACGGCGACTGACGAAGGTTTTGAAACTGTCAATAAATATATCGAATTATCAGAGAATGACCTCGAAGATGGTGATAAAAAGGTCATGGTCGGTCGACTGTTGATTGATATGGGCCAATACAAAGAGTCCATTAACTATTTCAGTGACTTTATCGATTTCATGAAAACTAACAATAGGCATAATGATCTTGAGTGCGCACCTTATTGCCATAATCAAGGTCGAGCACATGCTTGTATTGGAAAGTTCGATGAAGCTATCGAGTTCATGAAATGTGCCCTAGTTCTTCGACAACAACATTTGGGTCTTCAAGATCCACGCGTTGGTCACACACTTAATAGCATTGGAGTTATTGAAGGACAAATGGGTCTTTACAACAGTGCTAAAGAGAAATTTAGGCATGCCCTACAGATTTTTAAAGAACAGGACAATAGTGAATCTAATCAGCTAACTTGCCTACAAGTTGCGATCACAAATAGTAATATGGGTTGGGTTAATTATTTGCAAGGAAATTATGACGACGCGAAAAAATGTTTGGAGAGTGCACTTGATATTCGTAAGCGTTTTCTGTTATCAGAACACCCCTTAATTGCTGATAGTCTGAATGCACTCGGAGCTATATACCAGGCCCAAGGTCAGTATCAAGATGCAACTAATGTATATCGAGAAGCATTGACAATAAGAGAGAACACATTGCCTTACCATCATCCAGCTACAGCCAATAGTTACCAATCACTTGGTAGTGTTATTTTTGAAAATGGGCAGTACGATGAAGCATTAGTACACTACCAAAAAGCATTGGACATTTTTCATCAAACTTTAGGAACGTATCATTTAGCCATTGCTGGTTCCTACAAAGCAATTGGGAGTGTTTTCCTAGAAAAGGGTGATTATGATACAGCACTCAAGTATTACGAGAAAGCTTGCAAAATTTCATCGGATATCCTGTCAGACAAACACCTAACGACTATTGAATGCTATCATTACATTGGTATGGTTTATGAACGACAAGAAAGATACGATGAAGCAATCAAGCAATATAAAACAGCACTGGAGCGTATTCTCTCGGTAGTGAAAGTCGATCATCCGTCCAAAGCCAAAATATACAGTTCATTAGCCGGCACTTATTTACTTCGTAGGGAATTGTTTAATTCAGAAAAATGCCTTAACAAAGCTCTTGAGATGCAAAAAAAACTATATTCCAATGGTCATCCAGACCTTGTTACTACATTGAGCAACATGGGTGTGTTGTATACATACAAAAATGACCAGACATCAGCTTTGCGCTATTTTGATGAGGCTGTTAAAATGTGCAATCAATGCTTGAAGAAAAATCATCCAGCAATGGCTCGGATCAAGTTCAATATAGGTGAACTACATGTTCGTAGCAAGAAATACGATGAAGCGCTTCAAAATTACCTTGAGGCTCTTGATATTCGCGAAGCTGTTGTACATCCGAATGATTTCGGTCTAGCTGATATTCATTTTCAAATTGGCTACGTGTATTTCTCTCAGGGAAGAGACCTAGAAGCGTGGGAACATTGGACAAAGAGTAAAAGTATTTATGCTGAGCACAACAGCAAGACAGCACAATCAGCCATGGAACGCATCATTGCTAACCTCAGGTGTGTATCTTAAATAATGATCAATGTTGTTAATGAATTATTGACAGACTCGTGAGATGAAATCAACGTCTAAAGTCTTTATCGTCAATTTAGTAAAAATGCATGTTGATGCATGACGAAATCTTACTAAATGACGTGTTTCAATCAGGATGAGGGTGTGGATGTGGGTGTGGGTGAGGATGTAGGTGTGGGTGCGGATGTGGGTGTGAATGTGGATGTGGGTGTGGGTGCGGATGTGGGTGTGGGTGTGGGTGCGGATGTGGGTGTGGGTGCGGATGTGGGTGTGAATGTGGGTGTGGGTGTGGGTGTGTTAATTAAAAGTCAAAAATTAATTCTAAGCTGGATGCTACTGGTTTCGTCCTTGCTTAAGGGACTCGTCAGGCAAATTTTGAATTAAAGGCTACATAAGTACATTAAAATAATGAGCACCTAAATATTTCTTATAATATCGCTTATAAGAGTATGAAACTCTGAACAAGAACGATTAAAATGAGAAATACAGGTGCAACTAATTATAATAATATAGAGGTCGTAGCGGAATAGAATAGGTGTGTTAATTAAGAATTAAAAATTAATTCAAAGCTAGATGCGACCGGTTTCGTCCTTGCTTAAGGGACTCGTCAGGCAAATTTTGAATTCGAAGAAATTGCATAGAGGTAAATCAGATTTCAATGGAAAAGAAAATTATACTGTGATTAGTTTATCTATAACAAATAGTGATATCTGAAAAGAAATCAGTAATTAATGCTCATAGGCAGTAAGAAAAGTCTTGGTTTGTTAGTGAATGTTATGTTGGGCATAGTGCAAGTGTATTTTATTATATTTATGTATCAATTAGGAAATGTTGTCTCATGAATAGTCAATGCCACACTATAATTGAGACCATAAGGTTCAGTAGCAGTCCATCGAAAGGCGAATTGATATGGAGATTGATGATTTGGACTTGTCAACAAACGACGAATAATTGCGTCGATTTGATCAATCATGGTTTCCTCATGAAATGTTGTTTGATAATTTTGTTGTTCTAATATTGGTGTTTGTACTTCCGTTACTGATGGTGTCAGTGGATGTACTGTTTGTGATAAACCATTTGCCTCATTATTATTGTCGTCTTGGTTGTCGGTTGATGAAGAAGACATCGATAACTAGTCGAATCAAAAGCAGTGAATTGAAATCTAGAACAATTTTAGACGTAAAAATGAATCTTCCCTTTGAATAGTGGAGTAAATATGCAAAAACTTAATAAACACTGAACCAGATACATTAGTAAATGTTCATGCTAAATATGGACAATGTCAAAATTGAAATGAATTTGTTTTGATGAAAAGTTTAAAGCCTACAGTGTTTTCGATACCATTGCTAAGTAAGCCTTTTCCCATATCGTTCGTGATAGAAAACTCATTAAAAGCAATAAACCAACTTTGATTCTAAGAAAACTATTCGTCTACATTTCAAAACATAACTCCCTTAAGGGGGGCCTCCACCTCAGGAACGAACTTTGCTATTTTGCATCCGATTTCAATGAAAATTTCAGAGAATGTTAGTCTTGGCTAGAATAGGTTATCGTTAAAATATCTCCTCCAAATCTCAAAGTTATACATGAGTTCTAGGCTCTTTATTGGTCAAAAATAGGGCAAGTTTTTT